AAATGAAAAAAACCTGAAGATCTTCCATTATTTCTCCTTCTTCACGTTTCATTTTAAGTTTCTCAATCTGAACAAGTTTCTTTCTTAAACCATGAAGTTGTTTCTCTACTTGTTCTCGTGATGTTTCATGAGTGTTTGTGGATGCTGAAGTGGAGTCTGTGTTGGTTTCAAAATCAGATTGTTCGACTTCCTCCTCCGGTCTACGTTTGGAAAATGTTATTGTCAGGGGGATGAAAATATCGCGTCTTTTGAACGAATTTGGGACTTTTCTTGATCACAAACAACGCTCTTATATCATAGCGGGTTTCGCAGCGGAAGCTCGTCTCGTTCGTCTCGTTTAAATATGAGCCCCAAAAAATTAACATACTCATGAAATTAAAACACGCAATTATTGACGGACAGCCAATTGTTTGGATTTTGACTGAGTAGAGTTTGCTTGTACTAAATTTATAAATTTGTTCAGCCAACTTTGAAAAAGTAAATTATGACAGGAAAAAACACAGGTTCCAAACAAGAAGAAGTAAACGACCATATTCAAACACAATATGAAGAAAGAGAGAAAGCTACGTATTCAGAACCAGTCGTGAGGAAGCGAGGAGAAAAATACTTGTCTTATGTATTATGTATACTTATCGCTATAGGAATATTTGTGTTCAGCTTTTTCTACAAAGAGAGCACAGCGTATACAGAATTAAAGGATATCACTGAAAATACTTTGAAAGCAATCAAAAATGGCACACTTGTCGTCTATGTTGAGGAAAAAGAAGATACGTATCCAGTGCAGTTTAACATTGGTATCGGATTGCTATCCTACATCTTGGTAACGTTCGTCAATCGTGTTATTCAGGTAGTGGATGAGTTCCGCCAGTTTCGAAGTCGTTACAAAAAGAACATTCGTAAAATTTTGAGTTCATGTTTTAGTGGAATCTCGTGGGGTGGAGTTATAGTGCTTTTGTTTCTAGGTGGTGCGTTCGTGGCAACTGGTCGAATTTTGAGCGGAAAGGAACCAGTGCACATCGAAGATGCCATAACTATAGCTTGTGCAATCGGCGTCTATCCACTTGTCGCTCATCTTCTAGGTTTAAATGCTCTGTCAGAAGCAGAATTCTCGAAAATAGTTGAAGAGAAACAACTTTATCCTGCCTATACACTGGCGTGGAACTACTATTTTGAAGTTTTGCAAAATCTCTTACCCATAGTCAATGAAAGATTTACAGAAGATTTACAAAAGAAGCAACGTCAAGATAACGAAGATGCAGAAACTGACAAAGACCAACAGAATGTAAAGAATACATAGACTCAAAAACTGATCCTGATTGTTCCACACGATTGCAGAACTTTTCAAAACTTAGAACAAATCGATTCAAACTTCAAAAACTATATGATGTTGAAGGCAAGGGGTACAGTGTTCCTCTTTATAATATGATATACGGTGACGAACAATACAAACTTCTCCTGTTGTACGTCTCACAACCATTAAAGACACTTTATAAGATGAGCGGTGTTGAACGAGTTAAATGTTTGACTGAAAAACATCTTGAAGAGCAAGTGGAACTTTTTTGTAATACTTTACAAGACGAAATCCTCAGTAAACCATTGAACGAAGACTTCAAGGAAAAATGCGTTGTTTTACTATTAAAGGCTGACCATGAAAGAAGTTTGGGAAATGGAGGGCTTGTTGAATCGATCATAAAGTGCTTAGGACGTGACGAAGATTCTAGTGGTAGAAAACATGATCAATGCATTGTAGTCCTAAAACCACCTCCAAAAACATTTTCTTTGCTAGCGAAATCTAAAGCAGAAAAGACTTCCCCACTAAAACAAGGTATACTATGCTACGTTCAGTTATGTATATACATAACTGCTTTTAAGGAGTTGTAAGTTATGCAAACCTAACTCAACCTAAATAAGTAAACGGCGACAGGCTTATCAAGATTATTATTCCATTTATATCATTTTACACACGAGTTCCTAACTCTATTAAGTGTCAGATTTCCATGTTTTCATTAATTTAACCAAAGTCTTTACTATTTTGTATTGTGCCAGAATTGAAACATCAAATGTTCACTTGTCACTAGCTCATTCTCTATGCATGCAAGATGTCTAAAAATATTCAATCCTTGGTAAGGATTCAAAAGCAAAGATGCTTTTGATTCTCACTGCTCTAGTCACAGGCAAGCACCATGACTGTAAACATACATACAAGATAACAATAGTTATTAATTAATTTCTTACCCATTTTTAAAGTTTGTGAGAATAAAGAAATTCATAAAATGCTGAGTTTGCCTAACTTTTGTTAATATTTTTCAGATGAATATTACAAAGACACATCAACAAATAATGAAAAAGAACCCCTTCTTCCAAAACATTCATTATCAAGAAAATACAAGAACCCCAAAAAGTTAGAACAACAGAAAAATGTTGCGACCAAAGATACAATCACTCCAAAATATGAAGTGAGCGACAACAGTGAAAATCATTCCTTAAATGAAGAACACGCTGATGACAAACATGAACAACCAGAAAATGTAGAAAGTCTATCAAGCACTAGCAAGTCTTCGACTTTTTCTACTGAAGCACAAGTTTGTTGTCCAAAACAGCCACAAACCATTAAGAAAGTGCCTAAAAAGCAAAATTATGTTGTCTATGAAGAAGATGAAGAACAACCGCTGATTCAAGCTGAATACAAAACAACTCATGAGGATGATAAAGAACAACACAATAATGTTGACAACAAACAAAAGGCAAACAATGAAAGCAACAAGAATGAGAACTCTAAAAATCACCCCCTTAATAGAAGCCTCTCTAAAGTTGAAAAAGAATCACGGATTGAGGAAGAAATTACAGAAGTTCCAGATCCATTAAAAGTCTAACAATATCAAAGCAACATAGGTGACAAAATGCTGATGAAGTTCATGAAGAAGGTTTTGAAGAAGGTTTTCATGGAGAAGATATTCATCATTTATAAAAAAATATCAATAATGCCTTTTACTAACAGAGCAAACCCTGCCATTTTATCTTGCATTATCCATAATTCCTTTCATAGTCTGGCTGCTAGTAAATGATCCTCAATGGTAAACCACAATGTATCACAATTGGATTTCATATTTGTAATATTGATTTCTTTTTATCCATTGTCAATAGTTATTTTGTGTTTAGCTAATAGGACAAATTGCAAATAAATTCTAGTTGATAAATTTTGGAGTGAAATGGATGATGATACTGGTTCAAAGGTTCTGATAAAATACCTGTTTATCTTTTGCCTCTTGCAGTTTTGCTTTCAGTTCTTCAACAGGATCTAACAATTTTGTGTTTTCTGTATGAGAATCCTTACTTTCATTCTTGAGATGATCAATCACATCATCTTCTTTCAACTTCTGAGCTCTTTCCTTGGCTCATTTTTCTACACATTTTTGATTCTTTTTTGCAGCCTTGCTCCCAACTAAAAATAAGGAAACTAAATAAAATAAGGAAACTAAAAATTAATCTGTCAGCAGTAACAGGTGGTTGGTTGGCAATGACCATTGATTAATGATTGAACTGGCACTGAGGCTGACGGAAAAGTATGAAAATTGAAAACTCTACCTGAAGACATGATGCCTCTTTTGAAAAACTATTACAACAAGGAGCACTTCAAGAAATAAAGAGATATTTAACGATTTCAAGATAGTTCACCATCAAATTTTGCCATATTTATGCTATTGCCTATTTTCTCCGCTTTGTCCACTAAATTTAGATTACAACCATTGAGTTCTATAAGACCTGGAGGGGAAACGTCAACCAAATTACTATAAATTATTAGCGCGCGGCCGCGTGGTCAAAAACATGGCGGATTTTGGTTGTCAAAGTCAGCGGAAAGACGCGGGCTCATAAAATAAAATTTTTTTCGCCCACCCGGATTTGACAACCACAATTGCGATTATATAAAATATCAATGCCAAGCACAAAAACTTTTAGAAATTTTATTTTTAAAACATGCTGCAGACTTGTTTGGTATACGGATGCTGAAGTAATGCCAGAAAAGGAAACATTTCATGACACTGGTAAGCAACGTAAGATTGTTTACCATTTAAAGTGTTCAGTGTTTTGTTTTAAGTCAATACTTGAAGTGTGATGGTATATATTTCGTGAATGTTTTTACTCCTAAGTTAAAATTTAAGTTATGTATATCCAGTCTTATTTGTTCTTTACTTAGTCGCTTGCTAGACGAGGCAAAGCAATCAATTCTTATTGCGATATGCATGTCTTAAAACTCCTTGTTTCAACTGACTTTACCTCCAAGAAATGGAGGATTTTTTCATGATATTTTTCTGAAAATATGAAGCAAATATTAAGAATAGAGCTGTATTGAAATCAAATGCAGTGCAGGATTAATTAATGAACTCTTTGGTACATGTCGTACATTAAAAAATACCTGTCTTAAACAGCTAGCCTGAACAATTTGATAGATTATGGACAATCATGATGATGGTGTGTAAAGGTTTGCTTTATGCTAAAAGTTTTAAATACCATTGGGTGTTTTTGTAAATGAATTGTTTGTTCTAGTAAACAGGTTAGTACATCAAAACCAAGATAAAAACTACTTTGTTCAATAATGTGCCAATTATGCTCCTACCTTGAAATTTTTGTCAAGAAAAGCTTATGATGACATGCATGAAACATTAAATACAGTACTGCATCATCTGACAAAATCCATACGTTTTTCAATTCCAGGTGATTAAAAATTCACATAAGATGCATTGGTTGCAATGAAGTTGAATGTGGAAGAAGCAAAAATTGATGGCGAAGAACTTTTTATGTCTTATGAAGAAATACAATGTTATTTAAAATAAGAATAGCAATCTAGTAAAAGAAGTGATATCTGTCTTCAACATGAGACTTTTCCAATTATGTATAGTTTCTTTGTACAAAATACTATTTTACATAAACTTGATTTTTAAGTCATTTACTGATATTTTTACCAAAAGACAAAAAGAAAAATTCAAAGGCATAATGTAAAATTCAAAAGTTTGTCAAGTTGTTTGAACCTAAAAAAATAGTTTAGGTAACTGCAATTGGTAAGGACACAAGAGAAAAGTAGTTCAAGAAGGTTAGTATTTTTGAGAATTAATATGTTCTTCTTGACATACATAACACAAGGCCATAATATTATGAATAATGACTGTACAATAACAATTATACAACATGCTAAATATCTTCACCTACATTATAATTATTTAAACAGGTTTGCCTTCATGCAGCAATAAGAAAAGTGTTACGTCAGAGAAACCAATGCACTTTAATTTAAGAAATCGAATTTTCAATGTATTTCATAATGTAGTTCTGTTCAGTAGTACATCCATGGTTGTCAATGACAATCCAGTTTCTAATATCTTGGCTCAAAACAGAACTAGCAACATGATTATAGAATTTCTGAATTTCATTCTTTTGCTCTCCCAGTTTAAGATATTTTCTTCATAAGTTCTCAGTAGATTTATCAGAATATCATAATACCTTATAAGACACCCAGAATCAATCCTACCAAAAAAACCTAAAAAAACATACATACCTACTTATATATTTCCAGTCGACTTAAGTCGTAGGGGTAAGCTAACTTTTTCTAACTCCTTTTTGGACATTTTAACTAAGATTTACCAAGCTATTTAAAAAAGACAGTTGCACCAAGCTGTTGATAAACAGTCAAAAACACAAGTATTGCTCATGGGATTATGCGTCAAAGCTTAACGACACATTGACAGTGCAAAGAATGCCGTTTTATATTTATTTCTAATATGGCTTAAGCATTACTTGACAAAATATACGTTATTTTACCGTAGATTTTCCTCATTTAAATGTGTGTGTCTTTTTCACAAAAACCTGAAGCATTATTTTCAATACTTTATGCTTACGGTATCGTGGTTGTTTTCGCTGGTTGTCAATATAAGCAGTAAAGAGATTCGGGAGGGAGCGAATGTTAAAAATTTTTCTCAAAGTGAAGTTTTGACAACCAAAATCATTGAGTTCTATAATAACTGGAGCGGCTATCTTTACTGGGGCGAGGTCGCCAAAAAAATGGCGGCCAACGGACGTATTTCCGCTGAAATGATCGCTTTGCAGAAAAATAATATTCTCGACCTCCCCCTGGTGTCTATAGTAAATTATAAAGAATTTTTCAAAAACAAACACGATATCACAGAATATGGATATCGTTAGTTCCATATTCTGTGACGATTCTTTTTTGGCATTTCTTTTATAATGCCAACACTTCAATCGTTCAATTGTTGGATGTCGTAGTTTCCACAAAAAGGAACATATCGCTTCTCACAGGTGAGGTAGTTGTTTGTTTTGTTAGTCCGTCAACGATTGAAAAGCAATTATACATGCACTTGAAAAGCCATAAAATACATATTAAAGATCGTATTTTTTAAGACTGACTTGAACGCCAAATATACTGATGTTTTCCTGTTTTTGTTTATTAAACTCAGCATACTTTTTTGTTATTTGCTAATGTATAAAATCGTAAATTTACCAATCTATTTGCAATATAGTTTCCCTGACGCAAAAAAGACCCTTCACATTTTACTCAGTGGGCATATAACATTTTAGAAACGATCATCCCAAACAGTACCCATGATTTGGAGCAGAGCTTGTTAGGAAATATTTGCTGACAACATGTAGTGAAGATCAGGCAACAAAAATGAATGGAAGATGTTATTGAGCCAGGCAGAGTCTTACAATAAAATGATAAGGCTGAAAAGATAATTGATATATTTCCTTCCATAACCAGAGTTATTGAATTTGGTCAAATTCTATGGATGGAGACAATGGATTCACTAAGGATGCCTTGAATGCTTTGAAATTAAGTTCAAGAAACAAAAAAAAAGATGGCAAGAAGGTTGTGTGTGTTTTGATGCTTGATAAAATCTCAATTCACAAACAAGTAAAATGGAATTGATGATGACTCAAAGCAGATGTGAAGCTTCAAACTGTTTAATCCATTGAGTTTTAATTTACTTAATGGTTAAATCATGCCATATCTTTATCAAAATATTTTAGTTGAGTGTTGTTTGAATGTTACTAATATCTAATGCACTATACTGAAGCATTAAAGATTCAGTGATGAAACCTTTAAAGTTACTGTACTGTATATTTCTTATATATTTCTTATATTTCTTTAAGAAACAGTTTGAGCTTATTTACCTATTAGAGTACAGAATGGAGATTTATCATATGCATCATTGCTGCTTTTTAAATAAAGTTTTCACTTTTCAAAGCTTTTCTACAAATTTTGCTTCTTATTTCTTATCATGAGATTGATGATATAGAGGTAATATAATCCAATAACTTTCTAATTTCTAAAAGCTTTTAAGCTTCTAGCATAAAAGTACACTATAGGAATTTAATTCATTTGGTTTTATTGCCTTGCTATGACATATCTACTTGCACTTCATCATTTTGTATGAACAAAACACCAGATGTGGATACTCAGAGAACAAAATGCACTACCAACTGCTTATGAAATTTATTATTGAGGTGAAAACTGTGTTAATCATTCAAATTAGTGCACTTATATTGCAAATATAGGAAAAACAAAACAAAGTGAAAAGAAAGGTAGAAGTATTAAAACTACAAATGAATTATAAACACCATTGGAAGCATAAGTGTTTTGATGATTATTTGCATTTTGCCCAATTCATATATCAATACAACAAAATCAAAATGTGCTACAACTTTACAAGTATTTGATGCAGTTGCACTTCAGAACATCACAAAAGGTTACTTAAAGTAATTTCTATACAATATTGTTTGTTTTATTTACCAAACCTATGCAGACTTGAGTCTTTTGAAATTTCATATGAAACTCAATTACAGAAAATCCGTAAATATCCAGAGATTTAATATGTACTTTTTAAAGAAACAAGTAAAAATCCTACAATTGGCGAAAAGCCATTGCCCATTGCATGAAAAAAGCAAAATAGCAATGATAACAAATAAGCTGACTTCTCTCTCGTGAACCGTGGAGATGAACTATGATATACTTTTTTGTATAGACTAAAGAGTTTAATCGATCAAACAAATTTGACGCTGGTAAGAAAACGACGCACATCTGCATTCATACATGTGTAGCCGACATATAGTCTTTCGTCGATAGTTATAAATGCATCCTCGTAGGAGCAGATAACTGACAACCACAGTTGACTCGCTGTTATGAATTTAAGGTTTTTACCTTGATTTTCATCAAAAAATTGCTTGCCGAATCCCAAATACACATATACATTTTCCTCACTCTTTCCTCAGGAGGGAGTGGGAAATTGTGAAATTTTCGGAAAAGCGGTCAATTTCGGTAAATCTCAGCGGCAACGGACGAAATCCGCCATTTTTTTTACAACATCCGATATCTAAAGCCGCGCTTGAGATAGCCGCTCCAGTTATTATAGAACTCAATGGGTATAGCCTTCTCCGCACTAGGTTAAATTAATTTCTCATTTGCCATTTTCCGTTTTTTGTTAAGTACTTTCAGTAACATATGTTAGTTAAGTTGTAAAGGTTACAAACGTCCGTATCTTTGGTCAAAATGGTTGAACGAGCATGCAGATTTTGTTCGAGTGGTCTCCTTCGATTTTGGTAAAACCTTTGATTCAGTTTCAAATAACGTCGTAGTTTAAAACTTTTCTTTTCCAATCTGACTCCGGTTACTTGGTGTCTCTTGCTTTTTTGTTGATCGCATAAGTTTTTATGCTTTGTGCAATTACTTAGCGACATTTTTTCTCTTAGAAATTCAATGAACGCTTTTTAAAATAGACTAT